TTGGCTGTTCCTCACTTGGTAAAAACGAAAGGAAACATAGTTAACGTAAGCAGCGTGAACGGAATGCGATCTTTCCCCAACGTTCTAGCTTATTGTATGTCCAAAGCGGCTGTGGATCAGTTCACTCGTTGTGTTGCTCTGGAGCTAGCAGGCAAACAGGTCAGGGTTAACAGTGTAAACCCAGGTGTAACACTCACTAATCTTCAGAAGAGAGGTAAAGAGATTTTGTAGAAAAATGTTTATTTCCTTATATATCATTAACTTTTTTGTAGGTGGTATGAATGATGAGCAATATGAAGCGTTCCTACAAAGGACGAAAGACACGCACGCCCTTGGTAGGCCCGGAAATCCTGACGAAGTTGCCAAGACAATCACCTACTTAGCTAGTGATGATGCTAGTTTTATAACTGGAGCTAGCCTGCCAGTAGATGGCGGTAGACACGCTATGTGTCCAAGATAATTACTATTTGTTTGTAAATATGTAAATCTGTTATGATTTTTTTGAATATTGTTTATAAAATTTCAATAAATGTTTTTTATTACTAAAGGTTGATTTTAATCAAAATTAAAGAAAGAGAAATGCGCAAAGCCTGTAAACAATTAAATTGACATTGTAATTTCTACTGAAAACCCAACGTTGTGAATAGAATACCTCATCTAATTGAATCCTTTACAGCACAAGGAAATAAGTGCGTGTTTTGACAGTCATTGTAATTACTTACTATCTAACAAATGTTTCTGTTGGGAATTTGTCTTTATTGTACAGCCGGCAATTGACGGATTTGTAGTAAACTGTTTTTATTTGCGAAAAAATATCACAAATTCCTACAATATATAAAATTAACAATATAAAAAAAAAACTAATTAATTCCCATTACTTACTATTCTCTTGCTGTCTGCTAAATTTTTTCCTAATCGGTGACAGTTTGTTTTCTGGCGTTTTAATATTGTATCTCATTATATCTGACCTAGTCTATAGAACAATAGCAACGGGGAATTTTGGGTAACATGATAAAACTAAAAACAGTTCCACAGAATAATAAACAATCAGAATGCCCACTCTCCATGGAAAATTAAGTACGCGCAGACGTTCCACCATGTTTTAAAGGGAACCAGTGTTGTTTACTGAAAATTTATGTGGTCTGCATAGAAAAATTAACCCATTACACCAAATGTGATTCTCAATACTAGTCTGTGTTTCAGGAAGTCTGTGTTCAAAGGAATTGGTCAGTAGGGTTCCTGGTTGGTAATGAATCATATAACGGAATTTTAACCGCTTTCACTAGGCGCTTCCAGGCACCACCCATATGTGAAGAGAAAAATTTTAGCTCTGATTTAATTCGTGAATTGGCTATTAATTTACTGTCAAACTTTTGCAGCTCTTCTCTCAATACTCGTTCAGCTGCAATGAAATTCGTTCCTCGATGACAATAAATATGCCTTGGTCGTCCTCTTCTGTTAATAAAATTTGTCAAGCATAGTATAAAACTGTCCACATCTAGTTTGTAATCTACTTTGAGATGGACAGCTGTAGTCGTGAGATATGTAAATAAAGCTCCCCATTTTTTTCCGTCCGTCTTCCAACAGTTACATTTATTGGACCAAAATAATCCATGCTAGTGTGTGTAAACGGAGCAGTAAATTTTTCAAGTCTTCATGGCGGTAGAGGTAATATTTCTGGTGGTTTTGGCTTAGCAAATTTGACCTTGCACTTTTGACAATTGGTCCTAATCTTATTAACTAGTTGTCTAAGTTTTCGTATATATAAATTTGTTATCTTATCTCATTTACTACAATTTCAGGATTTCTATGGTGATATCTTTTGTGATAGTCGTCAACAACTGTTAAATGACTTTCTATCGGTAAAATTATTGGCCTTTTTGTTTCTGAAATAACATCTCTTGCTTCATCTAATATTCCTCTTTTACGAAGTAAACCATCTTCATCCAGATATGGCGATAATTTAAATAAACAACTTGATTTATTAATTATTGTGTTTGGAAAAGTGTTCAAGACGTATTTAAATATTTTTTTTTATTATTCAGAATATGACCTTATTGAGTTTTAAATCTTGTATTTAATTATAATATATTAGCTATATAATATGGCTTTAGTTCCACAAATTTTAAATTCTCGAACTCAAATTGGCTGAATTATTATTATGAAGTTCTGAGAATTCACTTGTCTGAAAAACAACATGGGAAACTATTTATCAACCCAAAACACTTCGGAGTTCTTAAGGAAACATACCAGTCGTTTGTGTAGAAAGTTTAAAATGTAATTTTAAGCTTAATTTATTGCCATTCACGGAGGTCTTAAAAACAAAAGAACCACCCTCGTTGACTTTCGTACATACATATCTTTTTTCATATGATCGGTCACTCTGCAACAACTTCTCGTCGTGAACGTAAGCATCAAAACAGCATCGAGTGTGCATCCCGTTTATCCTTAAGACTCCGAGCGGGGACCAACCACAGACAAAAGCTAAGTGAATCTCATATAGAATTGACAATAAGTTATTAAATCTGCGAATTATTATTTGAATTACATTTTATTTTACATATCCATTTACAAATATTTGCTATTTTCGCTACTTTTATTCATAGTCAAAATATTGCATTTTTTCTTCATTATTATTCTAATATCATTTAACCAGCGACCTCTTAAGTTTTATACAAAACAAACTGTTTTCTGTAAACTACCAGAATTATTAGGTTTTAACCGTTTTATTTCATTTTTGTAATATTCACATTGAGTTTGCTTTATTAACATATTCCTATATAGCATCTTCAAGTTCTTCTGAAGTTAATATTTCTTTAGGCTCTTCACATTTCATCAAATTTGCATAAACAATTCTTAAAAATCGAAACATATATGCACTTGCTCTTAAAATTCTATTAAATTGAATAAATCTTTCAAAACGTATTAAAAGTCTATTAAATTTTACTTCATGAGTGGTTAAGATTTCATCAGCTTTTTCCTTTTTAAGGGTGGTATCTGGAGCCCTACTGTTTTCTAATTGATACAGAAAATCAGAACCTTTAAACCAACACCTCGTGTTTTTTATATTAGGACGTTTTGTCCATTTAGTAGCTTCGCCGGCTATGTTATTGTGAAACATATGGCTATAATGTGAAACCATTGAGTTTTGTTGAATTTCGGCCACCTACATATTTTGGTAATTTTCTTGGGTCTTCATTTCTTAACCAGCTTAAAACTGTTGAAGAATCTGTCCAATAAACAACGTTGTGCACAGTTATATAAAGATGTTGACAAAGGTGCAAACCTTGAACTTATTACCGCACCATTTAGTTCCAACCGAGGAATAGTTTGTGGTTTTAGTGGGACTACATGTGTTTTCACTCCAATCAAAGTACACTCTATTTTCATTATTCTTAGATATGCCACACAAGCACTTTCGTGTTCGCTGGCATTTAGAAATATGTGCATTTGCGTATTGGTATCCTTCCAGTTTTTAAGTTTATTAAGAAAGTATCTTGGGATTGAAACCTTCTCTATTTCTGGAAGCTGTTTTAACCAAAAAAGCCATTTTTGAAACTCTTCATTGGTTATTTGTTAATCTAGTCCTATCTAATTCTTTGGAAACAGATAGTTCACTATTTTAAACTCCTAGGCTTTCAACTGAAAAAAAATCTTTTACAGTATTAAAGAGTTCTTGGCTAGTAATGTTTCAGAACTACATTCGCAAATGTGGTAAGTATAGTTTAATTCCATATCGTTATTTGAAAACATTGCAAAAATAGTCCAACCTAACCTGTACTTCTACTTTGTAGCTATCGGTTGAAGCTCTAGACCTTCCTTTACTCAAAGTGAAAACGCAAAGTCCCAGTTATCTAAGAATATTTAGAATTGAGGAAAAGCTTTCTTATATGATTTTAACGGCAAGTTTTTTAGATAGGTAAAACTTTCTTTAATTGCCTTTGCATCGAGAGTTTGTTTTGGAAGGCCTAGTTTTCTTACCGTTCTGGCTGGTCTGTTGTCAAATTCTTTGGCCCCATTATAATCACCAGCAATAAAAGAGAATACTTTTTCTGACACATCTTCTAAGCGTTGTTGGTTTCCAGTCCATTGTAAGAAAAGATGTTCATTTAGCTTTTTAGCAATACTTTCTTGTAACAAAGTAAAGGAATGTTCTTCCTCTAGAAAGGCAAATGTATTGACCTCCCTACTTCCATTTCTTAAAACAACAGGAAGCATTTGAAAATGTGTTCCTTGATGTGCATTACTTTCATCATCTGCATACAAGAGGTGTGATCTATTGTTTGCATACTGCTTTCCTTTTTATTAAGCTTTTTTACTTTTTGTACTTTTATTAGGTACTTGTTTTGAAAATTCATGAAGAAGAGGATGATGCTTTGTTTTTCATTTTACAGAATACTTACAGTGATATCTGTGTTTCTTTAAGCAAAGCCTACATAAATTTAAGGCTTTAACAGCCTCCCATCTTTGAGATAATGAATATCTCTGAAATTCTGGACAATCTGCAATCTTTTTACAATCTTTCTGATACACAGTTTACATTTATGTGTTTTGCTGGAGATATCTAGTTCATATATATTAGCATGCACATTATTATTAAATTGCCATTTTTTATTACTTTGGTCATTAAGGGCTAGTGTAGGTAGTGCAGAACCATTTGTTGCTAGATTACACCACCAATCAAGCAGAAAGTTCACTTAATCCCTGAAACGGATGTTACATAGTTTTTGATTCTTTCTTCCTATTTCAGGAGCTCACTAAATACCACTTCTTTATATTTTAAGCTTTGCCAATAGTTTATTTTCAAGGAAATTCTTTACAATTTAGGGTATTACATTATATTTATTAACCAATAAATACATACATTACCTGCAGTTCATTTTAATTTTCAAAAAGGTTCTTTCATAGCAAGAACAACTAACATTCTATACTTCTCAATTCAGCTTATTTAAAACCAGGTAAATAAAAACGGAAGGAATGCATAAAAATAAATAATATTTACAAAACAGTATATTACAACTAACTGAAGCTATTAACAAATACACAAATTTTACTGTTGTATGCCAAGCTCTTCATCTGTCCATTTGGAAGGATCTGGATAAGGAAATTCGCCCTAAAAAACAAAAATGTATTAGTTATTATTAATCCAGGTTTCTTTATGTATTAAGTATATCTACATAGTATTCCTTGAACACAGTTATTTACATCCCTTCTCTATCCGACAGTATTAAATATTTGTGTAGTTGAAAATTACCACCTTTTTAACATATTTTTCTGTATGTTATACTTGTTTCGCTTGCTTAATTAAAATACTTACAAGAATATGATCAGGTTCTGTCCACAAGTGCCAAAGGATCCACCACCACATAAAACCTTGAACGCCCTCGGCAGCCCAGATAACAGTTCTTGAGGCTTCTGGAGCTCCTTTTCGGTAATTTACACTAAAAAAATATTATGGACAGATATGTGGGTAAAAATTACATAATAATGTCTGCTATGTAAATGTTAAGTTACCTGTGTCCGCTGTTTCGTACAGATTGGTGTACGGGAGCTATTTTTAAATTTTTAAGTGCCCTGAGGGTATTGAGACCCCTGGAAATTAACATTTTGAATTAATTTCTTTCTGAATCTAATAATTTATGACAATTGTATTTGACTGACAGTTAACCTATTTGAAAATGCAGAAAAATTCTTCTTTTTCATATCTTTAAATGCATATAACTGGAAATCATCCAAAATAAGCTGAGGTGAAGATAGCTAGAAATGATGCATGACAGAACCACAGAACGAAATATTGATGTGTAGCAGAACGAAATTAATTATTTAGAATTCTCAAAAGAGAAAAAGTAAAAACAATTTTAAAAGAATAAATAGTAGAATGTCAGTATTTGGTATAATTAATAAACTTAAAAAAACATCTGTTGCAATTTGGCAACTGGTTTGAGGATTGCCAAATCTGTTCGCAAAGGGCAATTGCCAAAAGATTTCTAATAATGAATTACAATTAATATTGAAAAAATCAAATATCGTTTATTTTCTATAAAAAATTTAAAAATTGTAGAATCATAGAACCATATATTCTAAGCACATAGCAACATTGCCATACGCAAGTATGACGTTCTGTGGATGCATTAATAGCTTAGCCACAGAATAATAAACAAACAGAAGGGCCACTCTCAGATGCCGCCTTTGAAGTTTTTCAGCACGCGGCCATGTTTTAGGAGGACACAGACATATGATTTGTGTGGTTATGTAATTGTTTATATTTATGTTTAATTATATTATATTTATGTTATTATATTTAACAATGTTAATATAATTGTATAGTATGTCTATGATTGCCGTAAGTCAAATAAACCTGGTTAATTTTTCCATGCACACCACATAAACAACACTAATTTCTTTAAAATCCTCCTAAAACATGGCGGAACGTCTGCGCGGAGGAGATGCGCGTACTTAATTTTCCGTGGAGAGTGGGTATTCTGTTTGTTTATTATTCTGTGGCTTAGCCACAGAAAGAACGTCATACTTGCGTATGGCAATGTTGCCATGTGCTTAGAATATATGGTTCTATGACTCTACAATTTCACTGTACAATTCTACTGTAGCTGTCTTTACCGCAGCGTATTCTGGATCTATGTTCTATATCTATTATTTTTGTTCTAGTTTAGTATGGTATTTTAAAATTATTTTTATTAATATAGTTTATTATTAATTATAGTAAAACACTGTAACATTTTCATCTTTTTGATGTGTACAAATAATTATGAGTTACTGATGTTATACTTTAATCCAGTCAATGTATTCTTAATTCTTCTTTTTTACTGTTAATGACATTTTGGGTTATGTTTTAAATCGGCACAAGACCCCGAATTTTTGTTTTATAATATTGATAATAACTAAATCCACATAAAATGGCTTCAATATCAGCAACAGAACAAAAAGGAATGCAACAGATTGATCTCACTACATTGAATGTACAACAACTATCCCAACTAAAACACCAATTGGACAATGTAAGACTCACAACTTACCCAGTACATGTGTTACTAAAATTAGCTTAATCTTTTAGGAAGTAAGTCTGTTTCAAGAATCTCTTGCGTCTTTGAAGGTAGCACAGGGCAAATATCAAACTTCAGGAGAAACACTGGAGAAAATCACTGCCGAGTCCGAGGGACAAGATATTTTAGTACCTCTAACTGGATCTGTATCCTTTAAAAACGTATTTCAGTCATTCGGGACAAGAAACTTTACAGTATATGAATATAGAATGCATACTATAGGCGTTACTATATAGTAATAAAGAGACTTCTGGATATATTATTTATGTTGACTGTATCATTATTAAACTATAACTGTATTCATTGTTAAAATTAGCAGATTATACTGCAATTACTGTATTTAATAGTTTTTCCTTAACCAAAATACCTAGATGTATGTTCCAGGTAAACTTCATGACACACAAAATGTTATAATCGATATTGGAACACGATATTATGTAGAAAAGGTAACTAAATATTAAAACTAACTGAATAAGTTGATCAGTAATATAATAACCAAAATTCATATAACAGTTAATTTGTTGTTCGATTTGTGTTTTATACATGTCTGTTCTGTCAGTTACATTTTGCAAATAGTTGTGTAGCATTGTAGAATGTAAATTTAATATACATATTATGTCAATCCATAATCAAATCAATTCTAAATTTCGTAAGTGTTTTATAGTCTATATATAAACATAAAGTCAGATATAGTGATGAGAAGGTCACAAACAATCTGTTCACAAAGATCTGATCTTTTTGAAGACCCATGATTGATACAATAACTTTATGTGATCCTATCGTTTGAATGACCCTATGAATCATGCCTACGAATGACACTGTCTAGTGTTTACTAAACAAACTGTGTGATTACTACATGTTGCTCAGTCAAATTAATGCATGAACTATTAACCACAAAGGAACATTCAAAAGAACGGCGAAACCCTTACGCTGTAAAACTGTAAAATGAGAATTGTTGAGTTAATAATCCCGTAGTCTGTTCTATTTATAAATTTGTAGGAAATCCATTTTAATTGTTAAATTATCATTTATTCATGAACATAACAATATGGAATTTGTAAGTTTACTAACTTCTTCAAGTACTTTTTTTATATTTTAATGATTTCTGGAGATGATTTGAGAAATACAAATTTATGTCAGCTTTAAACTATATTTCATTCTTAAATTTATAGTAAGAATATCGAATTCTACATGTAAACAACAATATAATTAAAGTTGTTCTAATTAATGAATCTCTATGAATGGGTGCTGCATTATCATTAATTCATATACTCGCAGAAAGATTCATAGGCTTATCAATATTAAACTCTACACACTTGACCTTTACACAATAAATTTAATTAGTCCTTCATATGAACGGATCTTTATGAAAGGATTAATTTAATGAATGACCTGGAAGACCTGGGTCACTGAAAGGAACCAGGTCTTCCCATCACTAGTCAGATACTATCATTCTCTCTATATTGCTTTAAACTATATTATAACTAAACTATTTGTTAATTTCTAAATGTTTTAAGATTGCCTTCTTCTTTTAGGACATTGAGGGAGCAAAAGATTATTTTCAGCGAAAAGTCAAGTTTGTTACAGAACAGATGGAAAAAGTGCAGTGGCTGGGTATAGAGAAAAGCAAAATAAGGGAAGCTGTTATTGAAATAGCTGAAATGAAGATGTCACAGCAGCAGCAGCAACAACAACAGAGCTGAATCCTTAGAAGTATTTAATTTGAATCTTTGGTATTTATTATTATTTCACAACAACACTGTGCCTAATTTAACTGCTGTTTTGTTTCAGTTTGTATTTAGCTTCTGTAATATCTAATATGACATATTATTTATAAAACAAACAATTTTAATGAAATATCTTTACTGAAGTGAAGGTTTTTCATTATTTTTTTTTATTGTCAAATGATTCTAACAAGATTATTTTTAAAATAAAGAAATTATCAGTTTTGGTGTAGACTTGTGTATTTTAGCCCTGTAGAAAAAATTCAGGTAAATTTCAAAGAAACCAGGGAAACACTATTTTTGACTTAGCCTAAAAAATGAAAAAAAGGCTATTTTTTTTGTAATTTAAGGAAATAAAACTAAAGAAATTGCTAAAAAACCTTGAAATAATAAAAAAAAAAATTGTAAAAAATAGGAAATTATTATAAAAATGTTGTAAAAATATAAAACTACTTACAAAATCATATGATATATATATATATATATATATATATATATATATATATATTATATAATATATATATATATATATATATATATATATATATATATTAATATTTATGGCCTAAACCATTAAAAAAGTAAAAATTTTTACAAAAAGTCGTAATTTATTAAAATTATGGAAAGAACTCTGCGCACCTGCATAATAATTATAATTTGACATATATATTCGTAATGTTGGCACGTTTATAATTGCTTTGTATAGAGTAAAAATGTATAACATATTTGAAATAACAAATTCTAAAATACTTACCAGCAAAAATATTTTTTCTACCGGCAATTTAGCATACTCAAAAAAAGTACCCTTCCTTGCCGATGCAGAAAAACCACAGCGTTTCAGCGCTTTTTTATGTTAGCTGATAGGCTTGTAACACCTAAATCTTCCTTTACTATCCACTTTCAAAACACTGCCGCAAACTGGACATATTCTAGTATTTTTTAACACCCCATGTGAATAAAAAAAGTACATTATTTCATTTTTACAGTCCATTCGAACGCTATCATTGTAAGAAATTTTACATGAGGTGCAACTAGCCATTTTGTTTGTTATAAACAAATACAACTGAACGTTACTAAGAACAAATTATTTATAAAGAGCCACCTAAAATTTTTGGAATAGTCCAAGGGGTGGATTAGAATGTTGTCAAGTTTAAATATTTTTATAAATATTATTTATAAAAATATTTAAACTTGACAATATCTAATACTATTTTAATATATTTTTTCATATTTAAAATTGATTTGGCAACAACACCTAAAAAGATGTTATTGCAATTGTCACACTGTTGCCAATGTTCGACATACTTTATTCTCGTTAATGAATAGTAAAAAAAATAACACCAATATGCCTCTATATTCTTTGATAACACTTAAACTAACCCAATCTAATCAAGCTAGCATAACTTGATTAGATTAAGTTAGTTTAAATAGTTTATACCAAAAAACAAGCTACAATATATATGATGAAATACGAAATAAAAATAATATTTAATAAAGTGCGAAATAAAAACATTATACTTAATAAATTAGTCGACAACACTGCAAACAGGAAATCAAAAGTTGCTTGAAAACCGGAAATTGAAGAGACCTACCTGATCAAACCCAAGGTTAGTAGATATTTAAGTAGGTTGCCTCGTAACTATAGACCAATTAAATGCTCGCTTTTTAAAGGCGGGAATACGTCACTCATACGACACTTTTAAAATTGCCATAAGCTTCAATGCTAATAAAAGGTTCAAAAACTTAGGTTTTGCAATATATTTTGGGATTTTCTTGGGTATAAGGATGTTAAGTGGTTCTTATATTAGTAATTATATCAATTTTTTATAGTCTGATGACAAAAAATATAATTGATTCTATTGATAATATTGTGTGTTTTAAATGGAGATAACAGTTTATTTCGCACAAAAACCCAAAAAAAAGTAGAAAAAGTTCAAAAACAAAAATACTAAATATGTATTCATTATTATAACGTACAAAACTACATATAATTGTTAGACAAACCTTGATATCACAGCTACGACAACACACTTCACAAGTGTTTATGTATACAAATAACTAAATAAAGTCTATAAATAATATTGTCCTTATATCTATATTGAAAAATAAAAACTAAACAATAACTAAACAAATAAACGTCTTAATGAGAAAACATAACTAGATCAAACCTAACTTAATGCAATCTAAGCTGCAATATACACAAGGTAATAAATTATGAAAAACAAAATATTTTCTTTTTTCGATGAAACACGCATAACATATTAATTTTAACCCCCTCTGTGGCTCAGTGGTAAGAGCGCCTGCCTTTAAACCTAAAGGTCGTGAGTTCGAATCCCACCTGGGTGGAAATTTTCGTTTATTAAAAAAATTAATAAATGAAAATAATTTCTATCCTTGTGTGATCGGTACACACCGGAGGGACCGCAGACGTTCGGATACAATTAGCGTCTCTTAGCAAAGACAATGACGTCGACTTTGCTAAGTATCAAGACAATTACTCTACACACACACACACTACACCTCAAATTGTAAGATTGGCGAATGGATTTAGTGTCCGCAGTCATTTAAACACAAACAAACAACAACAACATATTAATTTACAAGAAACAATATTTTTTGAAAATATGGCAACATTGGTAGAAAAGTGACGTGACATTAACATAACAACAACACAATCAAAATGGACGAAATATTTGAAAATTAATGTCAAAACACGCAATTTTTAAACGAATATTATAGAAAAAATATGCATTAAAATACAGAATCCGCAATTTTTAGAGCATTATAAAGTGAGTACGAAGCCATACATAACAAATATTCCAAGATTTAACTTGTATTTACCGTCCCCGGTTTCCTTGAATAATACCTTTTTTTTTATTGTCAAATGATTCTAACAAGATTATTTTTAAAATAAAGAAATTATCAGTTTTGGTGTAGACTTGTGTATTTTACCCCTGTAGAAAAAATTCACAGCCAAAAGCTTTATGGTTGTAGGAACTACCCAATTAAGGAGATAAAAAATTAGAGAAAAGAACAATAAACCAGATTGATCGTGAAGTATTTAATGAACAGATTAGAAAAAACAAAAGAAGTGTTGTCCGCAGTGGTACAAAAAACAAGAGATGTAAAGTGCAAGAAGAAAAAGAAAAAAAGATTGGTTTTCTAAGATGTGTGAAAACATGGCGAACAAAATAAAATATTTCAGGGTATGCTAAGAGATTGTAATACAAAAAATATGTAAGTAAACACTGGGAACAAAGAAAATCATATGATAAAAAGATGTCAGAAAAATATAATTTAAAAGAAAAACATTCTATTGTATATCGTCGGTGCAATGCTACCCCACGAATGTGCAACATGAGTGTTAGCAGATATTCGACATTTAAACTTTCAATTAGTTGCTAAAATTCAGGATTTAATGCGACATTTTTTGTACTTTTATTAACAGATGTTATAGTTATATTTTAGAAATATTTTCAGGAATTTACAAAAATATCCATCAGTTTTCAAAAATAGATACATTCGTGATTGTGGCATTGTATATTTTGTAATAAAATGCATATACGTGAAATTATATCGCCATTTATCATGGTAAAACTGAAACAAAAAGAACTTTCTAATATTGAAAACTACAAAAATAGAAATAAGTAAAACACTTAAATCATATTTTAGAATAAGTTAATTTTCTTTTGAATCCTCGCTTTCATTTGGCTCTGGCAAATTGTCTCTTATATTTTTATCGGTAGTTACAGAATTATAAAAGTTATCATAGTTCTTTGAAATTATTAAATCATTACACATTCTCTGCAGATCTTTAAATTTAGCAATCGCAATTGGCAACTGCTTATCATAGTCGACATTTTTGGGTTGCCTACGACTTTTCATGCTACTTGTTGAAATTCATCTCCAATATTTTTTTTATAGGACATTATCACCATGGCATCGGTTTTAATGTATCGTAACCAGCAAATTTGTTGCCAGGGAATTTTGTTCACTTTATAGTTCTGTATTCCAAAGGATTTGAAATTAAAGATTGTGATGTGGGTATTAGTAAAAATAGTTAGGTAATGACTGTGAATATTGATTTTATAGGATTTTATTAAAAGAAAACCATGTGTTATAATTTTAACCTACATCTTACAACAACAAAACATATCTATCTGTCTCTTGTCACCGTTCACTCTCGGTGGACACTGTCATGGTTACTTGGTGGTATTCAGCCACGGAGCGGTGTGGCTGTTACATCCTCCCCCTTTGCACCACCCTGGCGACTCGCGGGTGGGGCAACAGAGTCTAAGCAGGAATAGAGCTCTACAGGACAGCAATGACAACGTTTTGGTCGGGGTTGTCTACGTCTGGCAATATGGTCAGGAGCAGGTGCTTCAATTTGAGCAAGGTCATCTCCAACATGGGGGTCCATTTCGCTATCGTCTAACCCAAGGGTCAAAGACTCTGGGCAGGAGACCAGTGGAGCAGGAGGGTCGGCTTCTGAGGATTTCACTGGACGACCTCTTCTACGGAGAGGTTGAACTGGAGCAGGGCACGGATCTTCTGGATCGGCATGGAAAGGCGTCAAGGCTGAGACATGATATTTCCCAGCAGGAACATCTGGAGTGTCGAAGTGTGAAACTTCATAGGTTGTAGGGGACAGCATTTTGGTCACCTTGTAGGGTCCGTCACGACGCGGCGCGAACTTCGAAGTTATGGACTTAGACGCGTCACTTAGTGTATGCGAATCGACTAGCACAATATCACCTACTTCGAACGAAACAGAGCGGCGGTGGCAGTCTTTATACTTCTTACGTCTATCTTGAGATTGTTCATGTGTCTCGCGGGCTTCACTAAGAGCTTTACTCAAAGTTAGTAGATAGGGCGTGATTTGTGGCACGAAGTTGTCCTTGGCTATGATGCTTCGAAAATCACGATTTGCATCATCAGGAGTTCGTAACTCGCGACCGAACGTGAGGTACGCAGGCGTGAAACCGGTTGAGTCGCACTTCACAGTGTTCATCGCGAACCGTATAGCGGGTAACTTTTCAGACCAAGACGAATGGTCATTATTTGTTAGAATAGCTAACTGAGTTTTAATGTCTCTATTCTTTCGTTCGACGGGATTAGCTTCCGGGTGGTATACAGGTATAAGGTTTTGTTGGTATCCGAAACAATGCGCCACTTGCTGCATTACCGCACTCACGAACTGAGTACCGTTGTCACTGAT